TACATTATCATGGCCCTTTGCGTCAGGCAGCAATTCCACAAGCGCAACACCCTGGATGCCCATCAAACCGCGAGCTACTGCACGACATCAACCATGGTACAACCCCATCGTTCTGCATCTGGCCACCGCTGCTTGACACCTGTAAGAATTCAGAAATGCTCACACACTAATTCTGCCTACATAAAAACCTGCGCCGGTACACCTAGCTCGTGCCGACCCATCCCGAGCAAACCAGCCAGAGTGCTTAAACGACAAGTACAGAGATGGCCTAGTACATCGCCGACCGAAGAATTGCCTGATGCACAGCACAACTTCTATATTCGGCACGACTTGCAGACCCCGACTTCGCCTCACGCATCCGGCCCGACTGCTAGCGTCAGAAAAGGGTCGGGCCTGCACTAAATGATCTGAGAAGGTACGATATAAGCATGCAAATCGCCTAGATATTGGATCAGCGATACACGGCCCTTGTAACGAGATCGGTGACAGTTCCTGATGGAGCAAGACTAATTTTTTCACATATTCAATGGAGAAAACTCCCTTTGCTGAACACCTTGACCCCGAAATACGCCCTGATCAAAACGGATAACCCCTTGCAACATCTTCCTCCCCGTCAACGTCCAGCCCTCCTTCTACCTGCTCCGCGTGTTTCTTGTCCAGATACTCCAGCAATACATCCCCATACATCTCCTTACCCTTGTAACGACTTACATCCTCACCCCAAGAACGAATCGCGCTGGCTAATCGGCCAGGCACATAGGGCTCCTGCGCGATATCCGTGATGGGGTGGAAGTAGGTTCGAATCGTAAATACCACACCACCAGATTTAGGCAATCTGAGGGAGCAACGTTAGAAGCTTTACTCCGTGGACACCGGAACAGATAGGGGTAGTAGGGTAGCAGTAACATACCTCCGTAAACTCTGCCTCTCACTCCTAAACCAATGATGCTCAACCGCCTTGTTCTTCTCTGCTGTGAACCATCCGATGCCTCCATCTTCTTTCGCATCTTCACTGCCTATACTCTCGCTCCAGGCTAGTTTGTCGTCGACTTGAATGAAGTAGTTGTTCCGTAGAACAGGTGACTGTGGTTGTATTCTGCGGAAGAAATTGGACATTGGTTTCTCGAGTTTGTCTTTAAACCTGCGAGATTTGTTAGCGAATCTATCTTCATCAAGAAAGCAATGGTGAAAATCGACTGGAAAGGCTCACCCCGGAACGTCCCCACTCGTATGAATGGTAGAAAGCGGCATCCCAAACTTATCCTCCAGCCTCCAAAATCCCGCCAGCAAGATAGCACCAGCAAGCAAATAGTACTGCCCATCCTCCTTCTCAACCATGATTGCAAGATCATCTTGAATCATCCTAGCACACATCTCCATCGGATCCTCCCTCTCCCCATTTCTCGCACACCCCTCCACATCAAAAACCTCACCTGTCTCTAGATTCTTCATTCCTTTCCCCTTCCTCAACTTCATCTCTTGGAACAAACTTGGATACCGCTGTGGTAAGTAATCAACCAACTCCTCCAACAACTCCTTCGCCGCACTCGTCGCTTCAGGAGCCGTCTTGATGCATCTTTCTCCTCGTTCTGCTATCCTGGCTGCTTTGAGGGAGTGGTAAGATGTGTATTCGTTGTCGAGTTCAATCCATTCATCCCACGACATGTTGCGTAGGCCCATTGTGATGTTGTATTTGGGACCGTAGCGGAAGGGACGATAAGGTAGAGGTTTTGTTGTTGATAGGGACCAATTTGGGTAAGGGGATGCCGTGGGGCGGGTGAATGGGGATGGGTGCCATACTAGATTCGAGGTGCAGTATTAGTTTGGGTAAGAACGAGGGGAGGTGGGAAGAAGGACTGAGAAATAGACTTGATTGGAATGAACATACCTCCAGGTGGCCTATCTGGAGCTTTGAACGGGGAACGTTTCTCGAGATTCGGCGTGCTGGGTCGAGAGGTAGGATGTCGACGGGTAAGAAGGAGGCGGTTAAGGGTTATGGCGAGCCATGTAAATGTTACGAAGAAAAGAGTTGCGTAGAGAGCTGCTTTCGGCTGTATGTTGACATCCTTGAGTAAAGTGTTGAAATGGATTTGTATGGTGGTGCAGTGGTGTTGTGCATCACGTGCGAGACGTGTTGTGTGCTCTTCGAGTTTGGTGACAAGGTCGGACATTGCAGACATCAGGGTAACGATACTACCGAGACATAGTCATCTAGATAGAAATGACGAGACGTTGGCTATATGAGTAAATACGTGCTCATGCGAATCGATAAGAAACCAAAGCAGCAGTATCCCGTAGTTGCGTTCATCATGCGAGGTGTGTAAAATAGCTTCCTTTTATTATTTCAGCATATATACAAGCCAATGGATTCCTGCGATAACGACCCATGACAGTGTGGGGTCGTCGCGCATGTGTCGTCAGTGATGGTTATCTCCCAGTCTGGGCGGGGAAAGCAATACCCCACTCGGTTAGACTTGGTGTCTATCGACGCAAAGCACCGAACAGAGCTGGTCGTTACCCTCCATAACAGGACCGAGCTTCCTCGTACCTTGTGGATAAGGTGATCAGGGAATGTAACGGCTGCCGAGTGCGTCTGGTCAAGTTGGAGCGCGTCGGCATTCGGCAAGAAGAGTTGCCTTCTTGTCCCTTTCTCCTCTATCTAACATGACCTAACTGACTACACATTATATCAGACGACCCGCGATACCACATCTGCGCTATGCGCCCTTTTGATCCCTGCGTTGCAACAGGCAGTAGTCGCCCCATTGGCGGCGGAACTTAGCCGGGATCACGGGTAGATCTGGGACCCAAAGCATGCGACTGATAGTATGTGTCTTGCTTGCATCCAGAAAAGGAAGACATTTTAGGTCCTTCCATTCTTCTGTATTAGAGACATAATCGGGCTCAAGAGTTGTTGGAGGAGCTCCAGCAGAGCGCGAGTCAACAATAAAGTCGCACTGGTCGATATTGGTCTATTTTATTAAGGTTAGTGGGAGTTATGTTTGCGCATGCCGGCTTCACCTACATATTTGCTAGGATCTTCCAAGTTTTCATCATTCATCCCAGATGGTACCAACCATGTGCCAGGGAACATTCCGAGAGCGGCGTCAGCCTCGCTGAACTCGCCTGGTAGAAGGCCAGAGAACTCGCTCTTGATGAACTTGGCACGAACTCCCTGAGGTAAGTTGAAAGACGACGGAAAGCGATACCACTCTTTCCCTAAACACACAGTGTCTCCTGGACGGGCGACTGCCGGGTCGAACAATGGCTTGTAAACTTTTAGTGGTGCTGAGTATGCGGACATATGGCCTAGAAATAGGTCAACACTACATCTCAAAGTGTTTGATGTATTCTGATGCATGGCGGTAGTTGAAGAGAAAGGTGCTCATAACATACCGTTGATCCTTAGAATGCCCAGGTTCAAAGACAGAAGCACAGGTATACAGACAATGACAAGCTTCACCATCGGAGGTATCTTGCTTACTAGATGTCGTGGGTCCATCGAGCCAAAGTTGGCTAGCAAGATGTGCAAGGAGAGTGCTGCGTTCCAGGCTAGCGCTGGGTATGCAGGGTACATAAATCGCTCTTCTTTGTGAGGCTGGACCGTGAATATGGTTAACCATAAGTAAAACGGGCTGACGAAAGTGATAGATCTGGTCAGCGTGCTGCGATAAACAGCCCGATCAAAGACAAGATACTGGATAAGTAGTAGTGGTAGAGCAGCCAACGCAAGAAAGAACCATATGTTAAAGTTCAGGGCCAGATTGCGGACGTAGAAGTGCCATGGCTCCACGCCATAGATATCAGGGCCTCTGCTACCCCCACTGAAGACGTTGTAAAGTACAATGTTCAGCGGCACGCACACGAGCTTCCTGTAGAAGAGCGAGTCGATGACGGTTTGTAAGAGTACAACGACGAGTGCTCTGCTCGCGCCACTGAGTAGTACTCTCCGCAAACTTTCTAGAATTGTGCCAGTGAATAGGCCCGCAATGACGTCTTCTGCAATGAATGGCAGAGCGAGAGCGCCTGCAAAAGGCCAGCCCAGGGCACTGCCTACAGCGAACCATGTAATACCCTGGGCAGTCCTCATGGTGCTTTTGGACCAGTCCATGAAAGACGCAAATCCAAGCATTGCACAATTCATGGCGAAACTCGACGGGAGGTATGCAGGGGCAGCATGGTACATGCCCGGACTTATAACCATGATCATCGCAAAGAACGATGCGACCCGCACCTCGAACGTCTTTCTAATAGCAGTGTACATGCGAGTCTGACATGCTGCACAGACTACCGCCAGAACGGCTCGCAGGAAATAGAACTCGAAGACTTTGGATCTTTGCAAGCCTAGCGTCTGCATAGGTAGCATCGCGAGCCCAATCACAAGCGAGTGTATGGCAGTATAGGCCCAACTTCGGATGGCATAGTCGGGAGAGTACTCCCAAGTCTGGAGACCGTAGCCATGGTTGAGGTAGTGGCTTGGTTCCCAGTAATTGAAGACTTCATCGCAGTCTTGGATCGGAGAGAATGCGGCAGCGACGAGATTGGCGAAGGAGAATACGCAGAAAACTGCAAAGGTAGAGAGCTGAGGCGGTGCACTACATACATGGTGCATACGTTAGCCTAGCTAATTGCAAGAAGGGCAGAAGTGAACCAACTCAGCTGTCTGATGCGCCGTCTTCGGGCGGGTAGTAGACATTTCAGCAGTTGGGCATGCAAAGGGCGAATCCAAGGCGCTGGCGAATCTCCATCGAAAGCACACAGAATGCACTTTCACTGACACGACACGAATGCGTAATGGGTTCGCGCTTCATAGGGCTGAGCTCGCGCCTGCCCGCCAAGCCTATTAGCGCGCATCCAAAAAGGCGACGTTCTCCCAGGACGTGCTCTTCTCAACCAGAACTATCATCGCACGCACTTAAGCAAACTGGTGCAAACAACGCAGTTGATATATCGCAGCGATCACGCGTGATTCAGAGAAGACTGCAGAGAGAGACACGAAAATGTCCGACTCTCTGGAACCACCGGCCAAAAGGGCGCGGTTGGAGGCGGACGCACCCTTTTATGGCACATCTACATCTGCATCTACGCTCGACGCGCCTGGCTCGCCTGTCGATGACATGGACGACGACTTTTACGACACTACACCCGTCAAGCCCTCTGCGCTGCCTACTGCGGTGGACGGGACGACGTCGTTGTTTGCTACGGCGGCACCCGCGCCAGCCTTTCACCTTCCTGGACTCGGCTCTGTGAGCGAGACCCCGGTCGCGCAGTCGCAACCACAGAGCGGCGCGGTCGTCCAAGACGACGCCCCTGAAGACGGCGAGCTCTCAGATGAGGAGGCCTTTTACCATGATGCGAATCCGCAGGCCGACATCCCAGTCGCGCCGCCCGTAGCCAATCAGGGTCAGGCGCAGGATGAGGCTCCACAGCACTCTGAGCCGCATCTCTCCTCTGTCCAAGATGCTGTTGCTGCTGCCGACACACCAGCCGCTGACACGGACGGTGAGCTCGACGCGGCTCTTACTGCCGCCATAGACCTCCAGAACGAGATTGAAGACACCCCCAAAGATGCTTCTGTACCCGATGGCGCGGCTTTCGATAGCAAGGCCGAATTCTTGCGCGCCGCCGAAGCCAACAGGAATGATCAGAACGCCGAGTGGCAGCTAGATTCGGATGCATCTGACTCGGACTCGTCTTCGGACTCCTCCAGCTCTGACGACAGCTCAGATGAGGGATCAGACGAGGGCGAGCTTCTCGACCCTGAAGAGCAGGTCCGCCTTCTGATGGCTGAAGCTGCCGATGAGCCCGGCGCTTCAGGCCCAGTCAAGGTCAAGACGCTCAACGAACAGGACGAGAAATTCGAGATGCCGGACATTACAGTCACCGAAAACACCAAGATCACAGAACTCGGCAAGGTGGAATCTATTGTTGGAAACCTCGTCGTCGTCAAAGCCAATATGTCTGGCGATGAACAAGTGCTTGAGTCTGGCTCTGCACTGTGTCTAGGAAATCGTACCGTTTGCGGCAAGGTCTCCGAGCAGATTGGCCGCGTGGAGGAGCCTCGCTACTCTTTCGGCTTTAACGACGCCGCTGAACTTGAGAATCTAGGTATTCAGAAAGACACGCCCATCTACTATGTGGATGAGCACTCGACCTTCACCGAAACAGAACCCATCCGCCAACAGAAGCATACCGATGCATCGAACCTCCACGACGAAGAGACCAACGATGTCGAGTTCTCAGATGACGAGAAGGAGGCCGAATACAAGCGTGAACAGAAGGCTAAGAAGCGCGCTAGGGCGGACGGCAACGACGAACAGGTAGCTGTCAACATCCCTACCGGGCCTAGACTACACGTAGACGCACCCGCACCACCCATCTACCGACCCATGGAGTACCAGGGTGGTGGTCTGAAATACAGCGACGATGAAGACGAAGATTTAGGCATGTACAAGCCGCTTGCCCGACCAGACCACTTCGAGCAAATCGTTGGTCAAGGTGCGCCACTAGAAGACCGAAGCCACGTTCGAAGGGGCATGGGTCGAGGCAGAGGACCTTGGGGTGATCGAGGTCGCGGCTTCCGTGGACGAGGTGGTGGTGGTGGTCGCGGCGACTTCGGCGGCGGACGCGGCGACAGAGGAGGCTACGGCGGCGGGCGAGGCGATTTTGGAGCAGGCCGTGGTGGCGGAGGGCAGCAAAACAACCGAGGAGCCGGCAATAACAATAACAACAACAACAACAACAGCAACAACAACCAAAACAACAGAGGCGGTGGTGACAAGGGCGGGCGTGGTGGCAAGAACCAATCTGACCGTGGCAGGCAACAGGACCAGTTCAACGATCGCCAACAGAACAACCAGCAAAGGAATCAATACTCGGCATCGCCAGCCCGCCAGCAACAAGATCGTAGCCAGTCTCACTCTCAGCAGGACCGCAGCCAGTCTCAGCAAGCCCAACCTCAACAGTCCCCATCAGGAGGAGGCGGCGGCGGCGGCGGCAAGAACAAGAACCGCAAGCAACGACAGCGTGAAAAGAGGGAACGGGAGCGCCAGGCACAACAGCAACAACAACAACAACAACAGCAGCAGCAGCCGCCGCCGCAACAGCCTCAGAAACAGCAACAACAACATGCTTCTCCAGCACCTTCTGGGCCGTCAAACGCTAACGCTTATGCAAACAACAGTAATGCAGGTTGGCCAGTGCCCTTCTCCGGACCATCACAGCCAGCGGTCCCATATGCTGCCGCTCCCGCGCCTCCGGCACCAGCAGCATACAACTACCAGCAGTCGTATACCCCTCAACCTCAATCAGTGGCTCCAGCCCAGCCACCTCAACAGCAGAACCAGGCGGCCAACCTGGCAGCGTGGGCGCAGTGGTTCCAAGTCGTAGGAGCCATGAGCGGACAGCAGCAGGCACCACAACCGCAAATGCCAGCGCAAGCACCTGCGCCACCCCCACCTCAGTCACAAGCGCAATACTCTTACCCTTACCAGCAATATGGGCAGCCAGCAGCCCCTGCAAACCCTCCGCAACAGGGCAATGCTCAAGCTGGAGCGCAGTCTCTCCAAGATATTTTACGAGCTCTTCAAGGCGGTGGAGCACCTCAGTAGGCTCGAGGACAGTTGATCAATTCGGATAGGTGTTTTGTAAGATTATTCTGTTTCAGTATGAGGCATGGTACGTGAAAGCTGTTTTGATGCCATGCCATGGCAGCTTGACGAGGCATGCCTCTGGTACTGGATACAGGTCTCCCTCTGAATGCGGAAATGCAGATCTACTGCGTCACTACAGAAAGAGGAATGTGAGATAGACAGGGCGACGTATAAGCTTTAATGATTGCTTTATTAGATGCATTGCGATGAGTGGTCTGTTGTGAAATGATCCGATCCGATCCGGTCGCCGAAAGAAGCAGTTCGGATGGGTATGAAGGACGTAATATGACTATGCCCAGGCTGGCACCTTGATAATCATTTACAATACACACGTTCGCAATGTAGGAACACAAAGGTTTGACGCGAGCCCTATTGGCCCCCGTCGAAGCAATATTCACATCACGTCAGCGCTGAGCGCAGCAGCGTAAGAATACACGCAAGCGCATGCCATGTAGATGTTCGGTAGTACGAAAGAGTTGCCTCGGACAATACGGCAAATGGGCATGTGCTTAGCCCTAGCCAACAGACACCCTAGACGTCGGAGGACAATGAAACAGGGTGTTTTGGGCCAAAGGATAAGAAATGGTGTCAAATTGCGCCACAAAGTCGGATTCGCTTTTGGCTCAAGCTATCGATAATTAGTTCTGCCATCAAGGGGACACCGATGATGAATGAATGCGGTTGTGTACAATAGAATGGATGAAGGGATGACGGCCGACGATGACGATGATGTTGCAGCAAACCGTGGCTTTGAAAAGCGGGGGGAAGAGGTGCGACGGCTAGACACTTGTCAGAGGCACCGAAATGGGCATATGCTGCAAACAGATGCAAGTATCCAAAGTGTCGTTCTTGAGATTACTGCATGCGGTCCCAGGTAGTTCCGGGTTCGTGCTCGTGTTCTAGGCCGGGGAGGGGATTGCTAGGACGGACGCTCGGTAGGACCCCGTAGTGTGTAGGTAGCTGGTTGGGTTAGCCGTCTTGTGTGGGTTGTGGTGTGGGTGCAGGTGGCGCATTGTTGCTCGATGCACAGGCTTGATGCCGCTCTCCATACCAAAGTGGAGCCCCCATGCCCATGCACCATCAGAGAGGAAGAGCACAGAGTTGTCGAGAGTAGTCAGCCATTCTTCACAACCACAACCACAACCACAACCACGACCCATCGCCCGCCCGCCCGCCTGTGACGCTTCGTGCTGCTGTCTCCCCCACCCTACGCTAGATAGCTACCCATCGCTCGCCTCGCTTCGCTTCGCCTGCCTCTATTGCTGTCCTTCTGCCGACCGCCGCCCATGTTGCACACCTCCAGCTGCTGTCCCGCCTCGATGAAGTAGCCGTCCCAGCCCTTTCTGCGCAAGCAGTCCCCATCAACCCTGCCCGCCGCCGCCGCCGCCCAAACGCTGTTATCGCCGCTGCAGACGCGCGGGCCACTGTCGCGACTTGTCCACTGCACGCCCCCCGCCGCCCGCGACCATGACGCGGAATGAGACCATCGGCCGCCATGGATCGGTGGAGAGCTCGTGGAGTTCGCGCTCCGGCGAGACGATACGGCCCTATGGACGCGCGGGCTCGCTGAGGGGCACCCCCGTCACCGTCAAAACGGACAAGAATCTCAACTCGCGGTACGTTGTTCCATGTGCTGCTGCAGGAGCTGGACGCCGTGGTGGGGAGGTTGCGCGCGCTGTGCGCCTCGACTGGAGCCCTCGCGTAGTCCCCAAATGACGCGCGAGACATATGGCGAGCACAATGGCCAGCCTTGTCTCGCAGTGTCTCACTGCCAGACGTGCATCGACTCTTTGCACCACACGAAGCGCTGCTAACACCCTCATGTAGTGTCGACAGGGAGTCCGAGATATCGCCTGGCACCGTCCCCCCAGCTCCTCCGCCAAAGGACCCCTCGCACAAACCGCGCAAGCCTGCCAATTGGGACAACCCCTCGACCAACGCCCTTGGACATCACCGAAAACAGCTGGCTGTCTTGGAGACTTCGGGAGGCCGAGTGCCGTCGATATCGCGAAACCCCCCCACCGCTTCGAGCACCAATTCCCAAGTCGCGCCCTGGGCTAGTCCGCCCAACGGGGTTAATATGGCCAACAGTGTCTGGAGCAGCTTCTTCAATGACTCAAACGAGGACGTTTCGTCATCGTCGCCTGGATTTCGTCCGGCAACCAGTACCAGGGAGGATAGCATGGGCTTTCCCATGAAAGACGACAGACGGCCCTCTGTGGCCAGTGCCACCACTGTGAGTAGCACTGGCTCCAAGTCGAGCATGGGCAGAGGCTTCCACAAACGCCTGCAGAACGTATTCGGAGAAGACTTCCCCGCCGATGACCGTCAGAACTCCGACACGAGCTTGAACACGCAGCAGCGGAACCGTGGCAACTCCCTCAGTAACACCATAGGTAGTAAGCAGCAGTCGCGCCCGACCTCACCTACCAGTTCGCGGCCACGTACGCCACAGGCATCCTCGGAAGTCACGCCATGGGAATTTCAAGACTCAAAGGTAACTTTTCAATCGGTTTCCGGGCCCTCAGCCGAGGAAGGCACCTTGTTTTCTCCCTCCTCTTGCTCCTTCCCTATTACTCCAACCCTCCCGACCTCGGACCTGTATCACTAACCTTTCATAGGATATACCTACCCCAGGTGAGAATGGAGGACGTCGCTCGTCCGAGCAACATTCAGCCAAATCGGGTCGATCGCATCACAAGCTGCACGTAAGACTGCCTGGCACTGGTCACCGGCACAAGGGCAGCAAGGAGGAAAACAAGGCGCCAGAGGGTCGCGCAGACATAAGCCAGTACCAGTTGCGCCCCACCACCAGCCGCGACGATTCCTCATACGGCGTTCGCTCGAACCAGCCTTCAGCCCTCAGCTCCGCGTTCGCCTCCAAGACTAGCCTTCTGGGACGACCGTCGAGCCCGACGCCAAGCTCATACTCGGATATGACAAGAGATGAGAGGATAGCGCAGCGATCACCCAGCACCAGCAAGACGTCACACGGCTTCTTCGCTCGTTTGCGAGGCAAAGATAAGGATAAGTCGGATCGCACACTGCCACAAGACAACCTCAAAAACTTGGTTGCCGCCGGAACCGCCTCAGCTACCTCTCTGAATCCCTCGATCAATACTGCACGGCTCGCAAGACCAGAAGCGTCTCCGCAGATCAACATGGCAAAGCGACAGCCGGCCAACAACGGTGTCGAAGCCCAAGGTAAGGAGCAGAGGATGAGGGCTCCTCACCACCGCCTGCCTACCTTCCGGAAAGACAAGCGCCCACCTGCGAGTGAGAACACCGGGCGTGATCCCAACGATACCATCGCTAGTACGGCAGGCAACGATGCCGTCTTCTTCCTAGACAGGAATCTTGACGACATGGAAGGCATCGTGAACCCTGCTTCACAACAACCGCCTATGACGCCGCCTGTGGGAGAAGTTCCGAAGCAGCCACCAAATCTCGGCGAAGATATCTCTATACCAGGACCCGATGATGACGGTACTGCAGCCTGGGACGCGCCAGACTCTTGGGCCGTGAAGCGCATGAAAGACGAGATGGACAAGCTGGGAGACGCCGAGGAGGCCACAACACCTTCCAAAGAAGAGAGCGACAGCAAGACATACTGCCTGCGTATCTTCAGGGTTGATTCGACATTTGCAACATTATCAGCCACCTTGAACACAACTGTACAAGAGATCATACAGATACTGGGTAAAAAGACCGTGCTACAGGACGAACTGGACAATTACCACATTGTGATGCGGAAACATGATACCGCACGGCAACTGGAAAGTAATGAGCGCCCACTGTTGATCCAAAAGCGGTTGCTAGAACTCGCTGGATACACCGATCAGGATCGCCTCGAGGATGTTGGACGTGAGGATAACAGTTACCTCTGCAGGTTCACCTTCCTTCCTGCTAAGATGAGCGGATATTCCAGTCTGGAACGGGATCCCGGATTCAGCAAGATGCAGAAGTTCAGCCACATTGATCTCCAAGGTCGAAACCTAATCACCATACCCATTACACTCTACCAGAAAGCGACTGAGATAATATCACTCAACCTGTCGCGCAACCTGTCACTTGACGTTCCCAGAGATTTCATTCTTGCATGCACCAACTTAAGGGAGATCAAATACACCAGTAACGACGCCCGACGACTACCTCCCAGTTTAAGTCTTGCCAGCCGTTTGACTATGTTGGACATCTCAAATAACCGTCTTCAATCTCTTGACCGCGCCGAATTATACAAGCTGCAAAGTCTCCAAGGTCTTCGACTTTCCAACAACGGGCTAACCCGACTACCAAGATACTTTGGAGAATACCGTGCGCTTCGCAGTCTGAACCTGAGTTCGAATTCTTTGAGCGAATTCCCTGACTTTCTATGCGAAGTCCGGACCCTGGTAGATCTCGATATCAGCTTCAACTCGATATCGAGCTTACCCAAGATCGGCCAACTGACATGCCTAGAGAGGCTCTGGGCGACTAACAACAAGTTGACTGGTAGCTTCCCTTCAACACTAAGCAATTTGGTCAACCTCCGAGAGATCGATGTGCGGTTTAACGCGCTTGACAGTATGGATGTCATGTCGCAATTACCGCGACTGGAATACCTGATGATTGGACACAACTCCATTTCCGCTTTCGAGGGCTACTTTCCCAAGATCCGTGTGCTGCACATGAACCATAATCCAGTCACACGCTTTGGGCTCAATCAGGCAACACCATCACTATCCGTTCTCAACCTTGCATCAGCCAAACTGGCACAATTGCCCGAAGATCTGTTTGGGAAATTGACTGGTCTCACAAAGCTTATCCTCGATAAGAACCATTTTACCTCCATATCGAACAACATCGGAAAGCTCTACAGGCTGGAACATCTTAGTGTGGCCCGAAATTCATTGGATGTATTGCCTGCCGAGATTGGTCGTTTGGTTGAGCTTCGCTATCTAGATGTACGCGAGAACAAC